TATATCATCGATGCACACACACACACACACACACACACGCACACACACACACACACACACACACACACATATATATATATATATATATATATATATATATATATATATATATATACATATATATACATATATATTCAACTTCTGATATATTTCGATCTTCCTTTAGGCTCGTGGACGGCTGGGTGAGCCAGGACGGGCGGCAAGTGGCGTACTCGGCCCTGGAGCAAAGTCCCTTCTACAAGAGAGACTTTCAGGAGTTCCGCTCTCTCCTGAAGGCGGTGGACCCGGCCCGGATGCAGGAGGTGGAGAGAAAGACATTTTTCATCAGTATCCTTTTTTGAAAAATTGTAGGGCGTTGGGGATGGTTTGAAGAAAGGGGGGGGGGCGGGGAGAGAGGGAGAGGGAGAGAGGCAGGGAAAGGGAGAGAGAGAGAGAACGAAGGGAGGGAGAGGAAGAGAGGAAGGGAAAGATATATATAGAAAGAGACAGCGAGAGAGAGAGAGAGAGTAAGAGTAAAAGAGTAAGAGTGAAAGTGAGGGGAACGAAAGAAAGAATGAGAGAGAGAGAGAAAGAGTGAAAGTGAGAATGAGAATGAAAGAAAGAATGAGAGAGAGAGAGAGAATGAGAGGGAGAGAGAGAATGAGAGGGAGAGAGAAAAAGAGAGAGAGAGTAAGAGTGAAAGTGAGAATGAGAATGAAAGAATGAGAGAGAGAATGAGAGGTATAGAGAAAGAGAGAGAGAGAGTAAGAGTGAAAGTGAGAATGAGAATGAAAGAGAGAATATAAGAGGGAGAGAGTTTTAAAGAGAAAGAATGAAAATGAGAATGAGAATGAAAGAGAGAATGAGAGAGAGACAAAGAGAAAAAAGAAAGACAGAAAGAGAAAGAGAGAAAAGCGAGAGAAACACACCACACACTTCAATCTCAACCCAAATAACCTGTAAAAATCCGTCCTGCCCTTAACTCTCCCTCACCAGACCTGTACAACCTGCTGACCATCGACGCCATCCTCAGCATGGACTCCCTCCCTCGAAGTACCCTCAGCGTGACGGAGTTCTGGCGACGTTACGGCTACCAGGTGGGGCCCTACACGCTCCATCTGGACGACATCGAACACGGCATTCTTAGAGGTACGGGGGAGAAGGATAGCGGGCGAGAAATGTGGGAGGGATGGAGTGAAGGAGGATAGATGTAAAGAAATGTGTTAGGGATAGGGGAGGAGAAATGTGGGAGGGATGGAGTGAAGGGGAATAGATGTAAAGAAAAGTGTTAGGGATAGGGGAGGAGAAATGTGGGAAGGATAAAGGTGGTTGGTTATAAAGAAGTGGGGTAAAGATAGGGATGGAGAGAAGAAGGGTGGGAGGGATGGAGCGAAGGAGGATAGATGAAAAGGAGTGAGGTAAGGATAGGGATAGGGAGAATAAGAGTGGGAGGGATGAAGGGAAGGAGATAGATGTAAAGAAGTGAGTTAGGGATAAGGGATAAGAAATGTGGGAGGGATGGTGCGAAGGAGGACAATTATAAAGAAGTGGGTCAGGGATAAGAAATATAGGAGAGATGAAGCGAAAGAGGATAGATATAAAGAAACGAGATCAGAAAAGAATTCGCGCCGGAGATTTGCGACCTTTTAAACAACAAATACATTAAAATGGTGCTTCTTCCACTTGGCATTAAAACCCCTAACAATCCTCAGGAAACCGAGCTCACCCAACCTCTGGCGATGTGATGTTTGCCTCAGACGATCCTCGCCGGGTCCTCACGCTTCCAGCTGATCACCGCATCCACTCCGTCCTCAACTGCGGCGCTGCGGTAAGTAGAGGACCTCTGATGGGGTGGGGTGGGGGGAGTATGCGCGTACTTTTTAAAAAATATATTTTCACTTTATTGCACGATGATTATGGGATAGAATGTATTTGCGTGGATATATCGATGTGCTAGATAGTGATGAAGGTTTAAATTGACGAATTAACATGGCTCCTGATTTCCAAAAGAAATTATAATTAGTGTGGAACAAATTGCATACACATACTCCATTACATCAACGCCGACCTCAACTCCACAGAGCTGCCCGCCCCTCGCCTCGTATTTCGCCTCCGACCTGGACCGAAAGCTGGACACTTCCATGGGCAACCTGTGCCGGAATGGTGTCACGTCCATCAACAAGTCAACTATCATCATCAACTCCATCTTCGAGTGGTTCAGGAGCGACTTTGGTGCCACGGAACAAGATGCCCTCAGGTGGAGAACCGCTCGTTAAAGGGTTTTGTAAAGTAATAGATAAATAGATAGATAAATAATCAAATGAATAAAGACAATAATAATAATACGTAGCGTGATTCAGGAATTTATTATGTGTCAATGATTTAGTTACCTCAACTTAAGTTTGGAATTTAATTTTGATATAAATATTGCTTCTATATTTACCTTATGTAAAGAACTTATTGCAAATGAAAACGTTAACAATAACAAATATTCAGAGAACCGTACTACTTATTGATTAATAAGAACATTGCTACTACTATCTTATACCAATATATAAATGAATGAACAACACTTCTTTATTTATATTTGTCTCGTCCAGAAAACAACAAAAAAATGTACAATCACTCTGAAGAGTAGAAATGAAAAGACATCAACTCAAATAGGAAATAGAAATCATTTATAATAGATGCCCTTAACTCTTGGCTACTCTTACCCTGAAGATTCCTGGCGACCTGCTCCGATGACCCGGCCAGGAGCAGCGCCCTCAATGCTGCTGCAGATGGGAGGCGCCGATACACCTACTACTACGATTGGTCTCTTAATAATGTAAGTGATGCAGGTTTTCCTCAGGAGCCATTCTGTGTTAACTACTCTGTGCTTTGTTTGCTTTTAATAATGTTTCCTCATAAACTAATCCGCGCTTTGTTATGCTAGGTTTTATGACTGATTCCATATTAACTAATCTGTGTTTTAAGCTCGCTTTATGACTGGTTTCTTAATAAAGAAGTTGGTCGCTACGGTTGTCGCAAGTATTGGTTGTTTATACAATCCACGTATTCAGGCGCTTTCAGACTTCGCATCACGGGTGTACAGAACACGACAAACACCATGGATGGTTTATTGTGGTTTATTAATTCATGGTGTTCATTTGTTTTGCACATCTGTGTGATGAGGTGTGTAAGATGCTGCACGCGCGGTTGGATCTGACTGCAGATTACATGAACGTCTGTCAATTTTTTTTCTTTCCAGTTTTGTCTGATACGATTTGTGCTAGATTTTTTTTTCACTTCTTACTCTTTGCTATTTAAGGCATGCTTTGGCGCTTCGATTTTTCATAGTGCAATGGTTTAAATGTTAAATTATTCTTTCTCTCTTACTCTCCTTCATCCTCCGATACTGTTATTGCACATATATTTTGCAATCTTCCGTGTTCTAGGTGTTGCGAACCTTCTGAAGTGCCATCGTGACACTAATTTTGTTTGGACTGATTGGTTTCGGTTACATGTTGCATACATGAATCTCATTCTGACACGTTCTGTTATTGTTAGGAAAACAATAATATATAAGATTATTTATCTTCTCGCAATTAAATATTCTCTTGGCTCTTGTAAAATTTGTTTTTGGTCTACGTAACTGCATGAGAAAAGTGAAACTATTCGACTGTAATGTAGTACATCTGTCCTACTAAAACCTGGAATGGTGTGGTTGTATGGTATTTCCATGAGGCACTCTGATCACGTGTTGCACTGAAAAGTATATGATAAGGATTGACGTACTTGTATCAATTTCGGTACTCGCTACGACGATTACCTAAACTATTTGAAACCACGTTTTACGCGATGGCATGAGTAAGCAAATTATCTTTTTCTTTTCTGTTTTTTTAAGAGCATATACAGGATCTCAGTTACGGACATGAGGGGCAGTGAAACGCCCCCTTCCTCCCTTTTCCTCCTCATAAGAGTCTAATATACGATATGCAGAGATAGTTTGGTGATTTACGTAACAATGTAAAGGTTGTGAAAATGTTGTCAACAAAATATCTGCTGAAATTACATGTATATACATTGTCTGTACATTCATGTATTTCTCTCTCCTCTCTCTCTCTCTCTCTCTCTCTCTCTCTCTCTCTCTCTCTCTCTCTCTCTCTCTCTCTCTCTCTCTCTCTCTCTCTGTCTCTTTCTCTCTCTCTCTCTCTTTCTTTAACTTCCTCTCTTCCTCTCCCTTTATCTTCCTTCTTCTCGCCCTTCCCCTCTCTCCCTGTTCCCCATTTCTCCAAACCATCCCACAAAACCCTACATTTTTTTCATAAAAGGATACTGATGAAAAATATCTTCCTCTCCACCTCCTGCATCCATTTTCTCTAACTCTCCCTTCATCTTCGCGCTATTGCAACCACACACTGGCAAACAGACACAAATGACAAATATCTATACCTCACCAAATACTGAAAAACACAAAGAACATTCTCACACTCACAGTGTATATTACATACACCATGTTTATAAAAGTTGCGCATGACCTAGGTAAGTCAAGGTCGTGGATCGATCTAATAGTCCAGTAACACCAGCTGACAACCAAGTCTTTCTTCCAGATGTAGAGACAACTGTCACGTAAATTGGGTCCTCAACAACAGCGACGTTAAGGACGACAACAGCTGAGCAAATAAGGTTGCTGTAGTATATACTCACCTTCCCTTCATGTACAAAGTAGATATTTGTTGTATTTGGAGTTTAGAGTTCCGCCGGTGCTGTGCTTTTTGTAGAGATGTTTTTTATGTTTTTTTAATGTTTGTTCTAAAGCCCTTTTGAGTAGCAGAACCTTTTGGGTATAATGTGTTTATATTTCGATTCATGTCTTTTTTAATGTTTTGTGCTTTGTTAATTCATGTTGACTTATATGTCTTCTTTAAATGTTTTGTCCTTTGTTGATCCATGTATGTCCCTATCTCATCCCTTGTTCGTTGTCTTGATGTATGTTTTTATATCCATTGCTTAATAAAGATATACACACAAATTACATG